GGAATTGCACCCAAGCTGGGAGTTGGAATCAAGAGGGGGTTCGGAGGTGGTCTGATAGCACGATCAAAGAGGAAAGTCTTGAGACTAGCCTAGAATGAGCCATGGGAGAGAGCGAGATGGAGGGATTCCAGGATGGAGTTTCTGGGGGCAGAAAGGCTGAAGACCAATGGTGAGACGGGCAGGGTGGAGGACATGGAGCAGGCCAGTACCCTCTGAGTGGAGGGAGCGGATAGGTTGGAATGGTGTTAATAAGTCGCAGAGGAAAGTAAATAGATTCAAAAGTTTAACTTTTAAATAAGAGGCATATTATTGACAATATTACTTAATCAACTCAGAGCAATCTTCTCTTCAAGCAACACCCATTTGTCATTACAAGGTGACAAAGGCACTTGTACTAATCATGTCAGTCCAACACTTGCACGGTCATCGAGGGAAATGAAGTGAATAAAAATGATATATAACATCTCGTAATTGGTGTTAAATTGGGCTTTAAAGGTTCCATTAACTTAAAGAAAACGTGAAATTGTTTGTAATTTGATGAATTGACCATGGCGCTGGACAGACACATTACAGAATATTTACTAGATCCAAAAATTAATCAAATTCAACTGCAGAAGTATTTCGGGTGCTGGTTCTATAACAATAATAATTTGTATTTGTGCAGGAAAAATAACCGTCTGGAAACACTTCACACATTATAATTAATTGGAAATAAAAGTGAAGGTTGCTCTTTTGACAAATGCAGAAGCTAATCTGCACCATCGATGTCCCACAAACAATTGTGGGATGAGCAGCTGATTAATTTGACTTTTGGGGTAAATTTGGATTGGGTGTCAGCATGGCTCAGTTGGTAACACTCTCTTCATCTTTTCTTGTGAAGATCATCCTAGCGCATCCTTTTGTACAAGCTTTTATTTTCCCCAAGGATTTTGTAGTAGTTTGCGATCAACCATATATCATACAATTGTGCTTTTGTTTTTACACACAAACACACACACAGTCCATTTGCATTAATCGAAGATTGTTCCTCTCACTTCACTATGCCCTCAGTCAGACTTGACATTTCCTCTACACAAAGCTTGTATTTTGAGATATCAGACAGTCCCTGATGCCTGTCACCACCAGCTAGATTAATCAGTGTTTTCTTATCTAGACAGTATTCCGGGTTTAGTTACATCTTTCCCAAACAATGTTCTTTATCTCACCACCAAATGGTCGACACAGAATTGTCAACATGCTCTTGTGTGCACTTCTATTGATCCATTTTTCTCCTCAATTTTGTCACAATCCACCTCTCCAATCTTTCGGGTGGTACAGTAGCAACAAGGTCAGAAGAGTTTGAGTGCAACATGGATGTTTCTCCATTCTATTGTTTTTAAATGCCTCTATTTGTTTTGTTCATCCTATTATCCATTCCTTTCTGAGCACCATCTGGCCTTGCAGTTGTTCCCAGATGTGTAACATCTATAGCTGGATCGAACTCTCTCTTTCTTTGTTGCTCCCTGGTGTTTATTTTCCCATTGGCCTCGTTGACGTTTTCTGCCCAGTTGATTTCCTACTTTAGCTCTTACTTGGTGATCTCTCAGCCTTTTGTCATCAGAAAAGTTTTGAATTGTACAGCACCCACAACAGTATCCAACACTTTAGCTTTCCACTGTAGTATGATTATCTGGCCTGCATGTAAATTAATTCCCTATTTATACTGTGTTGTCAGCTTCCATTCAATGCCAATGTCGCAGCAAAGCAATACTGAAGGACTGAACTTCCTAATTCCATCTTCATAGTTTATTCTCCACAGACAATTAATGGGGAAATTTCTATGTCCGTTATTCTCTGAGCTCCAAAGGAAGGCAATAAAGCCTTACAGAATATTCACCCATCCCCATATCTACTCTATTCCGGTGGTAGCATTCCCCACACCCAGCCTGAGAAATCACTGGGTCCAGTGGAGTATTTATTTATCCGAATCTGGGATCAGTGCAGATTTGGAGTCCTGTAGTGTATTGATATTGTAGAGCACTTACCTCGCAAGTGAGAGGACCTGGGTTCAATTCCCAGACGGGGCGAAACTTAAGGCAAATGCACACGCCTCTGTTTACCTAGCAATAAGTTGTTAGTCAGTTGGCAGATCGCTTTCCAGTGGTAAGAATCCCTTCAAAGAAAAAGTAATACTAATTTGGTCACTCAATCCACGACTGATTGTTCTGTGCGCAATTGGCTGCCGTGTTTCGCACACACAATATACAGCCAATTCACTTTACAGTATATTCTGTGAAATGCTTCTCAACGACGTAGAGAAGGAAGGAAGTGTGGTATAGACCAGTTGATTTGTAAATACAGCTCATGTCATCGACTGCAGCTGTCATCAATTTCCTTCCTCCTCCCTGCAGTGCTTTGCAAAGCTTGGCAATTGTTGGGTTCCAACTCTCCTGCTGTTTTCTTTACATTTATCAGAACCTTCAGCCTCCCCACACCAGAACATTTTGATTTTGATCTGATGCAATTTCTAAATGGCTACATGTTTTAAAACAGAAAATGGGTTTGATTTCAATGAATTAAGCACCAGTGGCTAATGCGGATTTCCTGCCCATGCGCTTTGTGTAACATCTTATCTGTGTCTAAGTACCTCTGGGGATACACTACAGGCAATTTTCAAAGGCCAGGAACGCAGTTTAACAAGCTGGTCACATTCTCGGCCTCATTTTGATAACAAATACTGGCCGTAGATTGTCTGAGATTTGAGAGAAAATGGCAAATGTACAGGAGTTTACTTTGAAACAGAGCTTTCAGCTGGTATCACCTTGATAAACTAATCAATCCGTGCCTTTTTTTTATATAACACCTTATCACACTGTCTCAAAGCACTTCAGGGGATAGAATGTAAAGTGAAATAGCTGTATATTTTGTGGGTGAGATGCCCACAATGAGTTGGGAAACGTTATGTTGCAAATATATGCTGGCAAGAAATTTATTTTGATTTTGGGGGATTTGGTTTCATAACTGGCATTTGGGGTTTTGGGGGAGGGGGTTCACTAAAATGCACCAGCTGTTATGATTAGCATGTGGTTAAGGTTACGTTAACAGGTGTGCAGGAGCCTTTGTTAAAGTTTGGACTGGATTTGCTCTTCATTTATAGTTAATAATAGTCATCTTTGCAATTGATGATTTATTTTTCCTGTCAGGACGACGCCTCAAAGTACTTCACAGGAATATTTGTGAAGTCTAGTAACTGTTCTGAGGATATTCCTAACGGGTCTTGACAAATGTTTCTTTCAGAAGCAAACAGCTCTTCTCACTTCGCAAAGCTGTGAAAAATGTGCTGTCTAAAACTTCAAAGTAAAGAGCTTTTGTCGTGTTAGGTTTTGCTCTAAACCGAGCCTTCACCTCCCCTCTCGACTCTCTATCCCCTCCTCACTCCCTCCCTTCGCTCCCCTCACCCTGACCATTTCCCCCAATGCTCGGGTCCCAACCCAACTATCCAGCGCCTTGGGATGTCCTCCCGACATGAAAGGCGCTCTATAAATGCAATCTTGTTGTTGTTGTTGCTCAGGTGCAATTTTAGAGTTCCACACGAACAAGTGGATTAACACATGTGCAGTTTAGCACGTATGCAATTTACCCTATGTTCAGACTTTAATAACTTTCTTAGACTGTCCATTGGATGATCTGAGAGCTTTGAGTGGGGGGAGCAAAGCCCAATGTGCTCAGTTGTCACGTTTGTAACTGCGCTTCAGATAAAGTGCTCTGGGACACTGCCCTGCATGAGGGGTGCTATATAAATGTAACTTCTTGTTGCTGCTGTGCTGTTCCTAGTACCATCTTCTGCGGGGATGCGAGGAGGGGGTGGGAAATCACTGCCGAAGTCATTGTGTTTTGCCTTGAATCAGGCAACACGTAAACATGACAGAGATGTGCATCCATGGCCTTTGGCAAACTCTGCCACTCTGTAATTTCATAGGAAGATTGAAGCACTTGGAATTACCACGGTCCAATTTTACAAACCTTCTCATTGCCATGTCACAAAGCTTTGTGAGCAGCGGAGATGGGGATTCAGATTTAGCTGCTGAATTGTAGTCAGAGTTTGTACCAGAATCTCAGCCACATAAGCATTGCTACGGCAATGGGCTTGCTGCAGGGCTGGCACCAATCATCCTGGATGTGCGAGTGTTTAAGGGGACAGTTCAAAGATTCAGAATCAGTTAAAAGAATGCAGAAGAGAGGTCATTGGAAGGGGGAACAATAGCATTCCCCACAGGTGCCATGGATTAATTTGAATGATCGTTACATCCAAGTCTATTCCATTGCTCTTCCTTTTGGGAAAGATGACTGAAAGTGTGAAAAGGTAGGTGCTAAGATGAATGTGTGTCAGGGTAGATGTGGCTATGCTGTCTAGTCTAATCGCCCCTGTGACCTCTCTTATATTTGGAAGCTTTGGTTGCAGATTCAATGGTAAATACTTTGTTTTGTGTACTCACCTATAATGATACATTTGCTCCCTGAAATTTACCCACATCTTAGCTTTAATCATTTTGTCTTGTGGGTAATTCTTAAATGCAGTCTGAATTTGAAAGCCAGTTTCTTTTTAAGAACTGTGGGAAAAACAGCTCCCAAATGAAGAATTAGCTCAATACGTTGACTCTATCCCTTGTACCCTCTCATTCTCAAATTCTGCTTATTTCATTCCCCCACCTCCAATCCATCAACCACCTTCTGGCATTAATTCCTTATTCTAATAATAATGACGTTTCTCCCAGTGTCCTGGCCAACAATCCCCCAATAAAATTGGTCAATAATTTCCTAGTGTGTGAAAATCGTCTGCCGCATTCTTCTACAAAATACGCAGTCGCTACACTTCCCAATAAACGCTGCAACTTGCTTTGAGATGTTTTCGTGACGTGATAAGTGCTGTGTGAAATGGAAGGTTTATTATTGTTGGACTCAGGCAAGGTCACATTTTGATGTTGTATTAACATGTGCTCCCCCACTATCTATCTTTGCAGCTTCTCTGCGCTTCACCATGCATCCCTCAATGGCAACACTGAGCTCATCTCTCTGCTGGTCGAGGCCCAGGCTACGGTCGATATCAAGGACAACAAAGGTAACATAAAAGTTGTGAACTTTCAAACCTTCCGTCAGACGTTTCAGTTGGTTTCTTCACCGTGAGACGAGCCAAGAGCAAAACACTAGCCTTTTTCAGAAATGGCAAATATCAATTGGTGATTTTTGGTTTGCAAAGTCACCATTTTAATGGAACAATTTATATACAGTCAATTCACTTTACAATATATTCTTTGAAGCATTTTGAGGCATCTCAACAACTTAATAAAGCACTATATCAAATGCAGGATTATTATTAGCGATTGATTTATCTTCGTAATCCCTATTCTTTTTTCTGGCTTTGTTTTTACAAGCACAACTTTTGGCCTGAAATTTCTGTTAGGTTTACCCTTTAGGCCGTTTCAGTCTTAAATTGGAAACCCGTTCTTTTAAATAAGTTATCGTTTTCTGTCAAATTACGTGGATTCCAATCTGGTTAACCTTGTACCAGCACTTGAGCCTAATCAAATGCAAGAATTATTATTATTAAGTTACTCTAACACTCCACTTGTACAGATGTCAGCTTTTTGGTAACACTATCAACTCTGGGTCAAAAGGTTGACAATACAAGTTGTCTAGGCTGCTGGAGGAGTACTGCATTATTGGAGGTGCCTTCTATTGATTGAGATATTAAACCGAGGTCCCATCTGCCTATTCAAGTGGACTTTAAAAATTTCATAATACTATCGGAAAGAGAACCAAGTTTCTCCTGGTATCCTCGCTAACAATCCTCCTGATAAGTGGGTCATGACAGTGGTGGAACATTACTGTGTGAAAATTGACTGCTACGTTTACCTACAAATACAGTCAACACACTGAATAACAATTACCAGCAAAGCACTTTTAGACACTTTTAGACATTGACATTATAGGTGCTATATTGAATGCAAGGAATATTCTGTTTCTCCAAGATCACAAACGACATCCTGACCATATGTAACCAGGGCTCCCTCTGCCTCCTCATCCTCCTCGACCTCTCCGCTGCCTTTGACACCGTGGACCATTCAATCCTCCTCCATCGCCTCTCCTCCCACCTCAACCTTCAAGGCTCTGTCCTTGACTGGTTCAGGTCCTACCTTTCACACCGCCTCCACCTCGTCTCTGCAAACGGCTTTTCCTCCAGCACCCGCACCATCTCGTGCAGTGTTTCTCAGGGCTCTGTCCTCAGTCCCCTCCTCTTCACCCACTACATGCTCCCCCTTGGTGACATCATCCGCAGACATGGGGTAAATTTCCACATGTATGTGGACGACACCCAACTCTATTTCTCTGCCTCCAACCTCAACTCCAGCACTACTGGTGTCCTGACCGACTGCCTGTCCGACATCAAGTCCTGGACGATGGCCAACTTTCTCCAACTCAACGTCAGCAAGACAGAGACCCTCCTGATTGGCTCACACCAGCGTCTCCGCACCTCGGGCGTTGGCAGCATCAGCCTCCACGGCTGCACACACAACCTCACTGAGCCAATCAGGAACCTGGGGGTCTTGTTTGACCCTGAATTGTCCTTTCTCCCACACATCCGCACCATGACTGGCACTGCCTACCAACACCTCCGCAACATTGCCAGACTCCGTCACTGCCTCACCCCTCAGGCTGCCGAAACCCTCACCCACACATTCGTCACCTCAAGGCTCGATTACGGGAACTCCCTCCTCATCGGCCTTCCCATCTCTTCCCTTCACAAGCTGCAGATCATCCAAAACTCTGCAGCTCGTGTACTCTCACGCACCAGGCTCCGTGACCCCATCACTCCCACCCTCGCCCGACTCCACTGGCTCCCCATCCTCCAGAGGATCGAGTTCAAGATCCTCATCCTCACCTTTAAGGCCATCCATGGCCTCGCCCCCTCCTACCTCTCTGATCTGCGGACTCTCTACCAACCTGCCCGTTCCCTCTGTTAAGCGGGCTCCGGCCTGCTCCATGTCTCCTGCCCGACCCGCCCTACCATCGGTGGCCGGGCTTTCAGCCTCACTGCCCCCACACTCTGGACCTCCATCCCACGGTCCCGTCGCCTCACTTCCTCCCTCGCCTCCTTCAAGGCTGGTCCCAAGACCCTTCTCTTCGACCGTGCCTTTGGTCTCCCTCCCACCTCTCTCACTTCCGTCACCCCTACACCACCTCTCCCCCTTGCTCGGGTCCCGACTCCTGACTGTTCAGCGCTTTGGGACGTCCTCCCGACGTGAAAGGCGCTCTATAAATGTCATTTTGTTGTTGTTGTTCATATAAAAATTCAATTCTTTCACATGTTTCTTTCAAAAGTTATTCCCAGAGTCAGTTGCACTCAGGTCAATGAGATTGTGGAGCTTTGATAATTAAGAGCTCCTAGCAATAGAAACTCTGACCTCAGTGTATTAAGTAGAAATTGGTAATTGTCGGGTTTTCCAANTTTTTCCAAGTAGAGAAAGATGAAGTTGCCTTGTTAAATATTTTGTTTCACTTTTTTTAATAATTTTGAACCAAACAAATGGGTTTGTTTGACATCCAAGGTCATCAGATCAGGTCCCACAAACATCAAGTTAATGGCTGCTGCCTACACATAGCGCACACACATAGCGGGCAAGAATTCATGTCCACGGTGACTTTAAGACCTGGAATTCGGCCAATTTTGCATTTGCAAAGATGGTTGAAAAATCAGTTCAAAAAGTAAATCAAGCATGATATTATCCGTCGAAATTTTAAAATAAATAAAACTTGGAAAACAGCAAACCTGAGTATAAGACGTAATTACTCTGCAGTAAAGCAGAGTAATTTTGTAAACAGACAGCAAGAAGGAAGTAGAAGCCAGTTTAATTCATCCACTGAGAAGCTGGTCCCTAATGGGATTATACACAATGCTTAAGAATTAAATACCGTATGTGTTACACACTACAACCTGCCAGGAAGAGCGCCACATAAACCCTGATGACATTTGTATATTTGCACAGAGTTGCTAGGAGATGCAATCAGGTTAATTCAATATTCAGAAGAGGAAATTAATCACTCGCTGAAAAATACCTTTATAAATTTAACGTTTCCATGCGCTCAGGCCTCCACCACAGGAGGCCATTTTCTGAATTGCTATTTTAACCTTCGTAGTTCTAAATTCCAGCATTTCTCTCCCTCCCTCCACTTGATTAACTCATGTCTGCATTTCTATTCCCTAAATTAAACATAAAACAAATGACAACTTGCGTTTATATGGTGCTCTTCATGTGGGGTTGTGTTTGAGAGCTCTGAACACAAAATACAATGTTTTTTTTCCAATTTGATTTACTCCTGAAACTTTCATAATTTGATAATATATCTTGAGATTTTTCAAACTGGGGATTATTTCCTATTGATTTATTTTTGTTGGACTTGTAGCTCCAACTCCCGAAAGGAGAGATATTATTTATGACCTATAACAATATTAAAATGTTATAAGGAATAAAATCTTATGAGACTTTTATTTTGTGAAGATTTTTTTTCAAATACGTTTCTCCTCCAATTTATACCCCTTGGCCCTGTAGATCCTCCTCTCCTGAAAAGCAGCTGATTTCCCTTTTCTTCCACTGGGGAAGAGGTCAAGAGGTGCCAGGCACTATCTAGTGACTCAGCCTAGTGCTCACTAATCGGGCCACAGTGGTGGCAGTAAGTGTTAGTTGGTTACTTGACTGAGGCATAAGTGACACAGCCTAGGCTGCCTTTACCATATCTCAGGGGTAATAATCTCTCAAAAAATAAAAATTGGTCATTGAATCCACGAGTATTTATGGGAAATTGCTGAGTGTAATTGGCTGATGGTTTTTTCCCACAAAATACACTGTCAATCCACTTTACAATATATTTTGTGAAGAGCTTTGTGATGTCTTAATGATGTGATAAGGCTCTATATCAAATGCAAGCATCATTATTATTAACTGATGTCCGCATTCTTGCACAGTCTGGATACTGAGCACAGGAGCGAAATCATAGCTGATTTGCCCCATCCCTAAACTAGGGATAGTGAGGCTAATCTTAGCTGATTCCCACAAAATATACAGTCAATTCACTTTATAGTATATTCTGTGAAGTGCTTTGAGATGTCTCGAAGATATGATATGCTATATCAAATGCAAGGATTACTATTATTATTCCTCAGATGAGATCAGTAACTCAATAGAGACCAAAACATTATCATGTGTATTGTGCACTGAGCAGTGTCTTTTACTCACTAGGCCATCAGGGAAATACAAAGGGAGATTAAAACAGGATCAGTGGTGAAAACCTGCTAGCATATATCGTTTGCTCTCTTTAACAACAAAGTGACATTTACAGAGCGCCTTTCACGTCGGAAGGACGTCCCAAAGCGCTGAACATTCAGGTGTCGGGGCCCAACCATGGGGGAGGGGTGGTGTAGGGGTGTGGGAAGGCAGAGAAGTGGGAGGGAGACCAAAGGCACGGTCAAAGAGAAGGGTCTTGAGACCGGCCTTGAAGGAGGCGAGGCGACGGGACCGTGGGATGGAGTTCCAGAGTGTGGGGGCAGAGAGGCTGAAAGCCCGGCCACCGATGGTAGGGTGGGTCGGGCAGGAGACATGGAGCAGACCGGAGCCCGCTGAACGGAGGGAGCGCCCAGGCTCGTAGGGAGTCAGCAAGTTAGAGAGGTAGGAGGGGGCAAGGCCATGAATGGCCTTGAAAGCCTTGAAAGTTTAATCCTCTCTTCATCTCTTGAATCTAGCGATGAGGCCACTTCACTATGCAGCCTGGCAGGGGAAGGTCGAGCCGATGAAAATGCTCCTAAAAGCGGGATCAACTGTCAATACGCAGTCGGATGAAGGCCAGATCCCACTGCACCTGTCTGCCCAGCACGGACACTATGATGTGGTGAGAGAAGCCGTTTTCTCTGCAAAGCTTCTGTCTCCCTTTGGCGTGGGCTGTTATAAATGAACTGAATGACATGGCCTGAATTCTCTCCCCAAAGACAGACACGTCTATAATTGGGTTGCATGCACGAGGACTTTATATGGCTACAAGTACAACCTCTGTTTGACTTTTAGGCCAGCAACGTGCCTGTGGACAAAAGCAATGCAACTCTAATTCAGTTAATGTCCGTTTGTGTCTTGTGTCTTGCCTTGCATCCAATTGTCCTCTTAAGGATTATGACCCTAAGGTAGGCATGGGAGACATGGGACTGAATCCATTTAAAAATGAGAAATGTAAGAGAGCAATAGATTGTTGTAAATGTTCCATCGGAGGCCTTGTCCCTTAACCTGACAGCTATATTACTTTGAAATCGCACATGAAAATCAGAAATCTAGCTTAAGCGCCTATTATTATTATTATGATTCAAAGTGGAGAACACTGCCAAGATTGAAGAGCAGAGAGAAATCAAGTAGAAGGTCTTAGAGATTAACAATGTTAGAAATTGTAGGCAGGAGAGATGAAGGGGTTGGAGAGTTCCAGTTTTGAGGTTGCGGGACAGAATGAGTGTGAGTTGGAGATGAAGTTATGAATTGTGTAATAACAAACAATTGATACTGTGTGTTGGAATGATATGCTTGTTGGCTTAGTCTTGGCTCTTGGACCTTCTACTGTAACTTTTCTGTAACTAACTTTTCCTGTTGCTCCTTAGCCATGTCAGATAGGGCAGGTAAAAGAAGTTGAGGTACAGATCAGCCATGATTTAATAGAATGATAGAACAGGCTCTAGGGGCTGAATGGCTTACTCCTGTTCCTATTTTCCTATGACGAGGCCCTGGGCTAAGGTCCAATGTGCTTTCTTTCTTCCTGCTAGTCTGAGATGCTTCTGCAGCACCAGTCAAACCCATGCATAGTGGACATTGCTGGAAAGACTCCCTTGGACCTGGCTTGTGAATTCGGCAGAGTTGGGGTAAGTTTCTAGATAAAGCTACTATGTTCAATCACTTTTGTTTGGAAGAGGTTTCTGGTTTGAATAACGTGGAGTTATGACTGATGTTAAGGTTTTCCGGTTAGGTTTCTGAACGCTTGTTAGTTCCATTAATGGTCAAGTGGACACTCACTGTCCGAGACCCAGCATCTCCACCAAATTCTCAGAATCTCTTGCATCGTTCTGAGTTTACAGGGTGTTCACAAAGTCCTGTTACCTTCATGTTTCTTTTTTTAACAGTGCACTGACCAACAAACACATGAAGAATGATGATAATTGTATTTAGAAGTACTTAATTGTATTCTGTACAAGTGCTTAATTGTATTCAGACGTTTAGATGATCAGTGTGAGTGAGCGCCATCATTTTCATGGCAGATAGTAAATAAAAATTCAAAGAAAGAAAAAAACACATAGAAGTAGCAGGACTTTATGAACACTCTGTACATTGCCTCTGTTGGCTTTGAGAAGTTCACCCTACCTAAAAGGGGTTGTTTAAGCAAGGGACTATGAGAGTTATTAAGTGGTATGATGAAAGGGTGGAAATTAAAATATCTGCCAAGATGCAATAAAGTGGTGTAACAGGCTTGATGAGCAGAATGGCCTCCTCCTCTTTCTATTTATCTGTGTTAAGCTCAGGTTACTGTGATTGTGGTTGCTTGCTGATTTCAGCACTAACTGAATATCATGTTCAGGTGGTTCAGCTGCTGTTAAGCAGTAACATGTGTGCAGCCCTGCTGGAAGCGAAGCCAGGAGATATCACTGATCCCAACAGTACCAGCCCTCTTCACCTGGCTGCCAAGAATGGCCATATCGACATTATAAGGTAATAGACACACTCCCTTACTCTGACAATACAATACCCCACAGTAACTACTGCACAATTACTTCTTGTTGCTTTTGCTGTGATGGTCAATGGCACAAGAGACACTCAAGGTGATGTACCAGGCAATGGAATATTGGATCAGAATTGAATTGATTCTCCGTGGTGGTCTCAGGGGTCTGGTCGCTGAACCAGGCAAGTCCGCTGTACTCTAGATCATTGTTGACAGCAGACCAGCCAGCCTGGCTCATCAGCAGAGCAGACAAGTCACTAGGGTTAAGAATTTATCCTAGTTGGATAGGGAATTCACTGAGCAATAAAAAAGTTTAATGGTCCCGATGGCCTCTTCTTGTATTGTTGTACTGTAATGTCTGTGAGATAGTAAAAGAGAAAGGATTTGGGGGTCCATTTATTAACCTTTCATTGAGGGTATCATGTGTGGTCAACAAAACTAATCCAGTACTGGGACACACCTCAGGAGCATTTGATATGATTATATTTTGAAACAAGTTATTTTTTACCCAGTATAACTCATTAGATCAGGCACCTTTAGAGTGTGGTGTGTGACACTGGCACTCTGCCTCCAAAAATATGTTGATGCAATGGAAACAGGTCAGAGAAAAGCAGCGAGGACACAAAAACTCTGTGAAGCACTTTAACACCTTGTGATGTTATAGGGTCTTTGTCAAATGTAAAGGTTTGTTTTTCTTTCTGATTATATCTCCTCCATCCAGAAGGAAATTGCCTTTATATTAAGGATGTCACAGTTTTAAGGCTAAATAGCTCAACTAACTGAGTGTCACGCCGGTATTGCTGCCGTTACGCTGCTCCCATTCCCTGTTGAACTGCGAACAGCACCATCAAACTCAGTGTGACGTGTGGCTGGTGAATTGTTACCCAACATAATTGTTGACAACAGTCCCTCTGCTCTGTGATCACTGACTAAATGTAACAATGTGCTGTAAACTGACTTTGAACTGAGCTGCAAGTGTGGAGTTAGCTGGTATCTGGGCTGGCTTTGTCTTTCCATGTTCAAAAAATTATCCTAAGGCCATGTTGTTGAGCTCTCTCAGAGGCACAGTTGATGGAACTGATTACAGACCTGAGCCATACAAACTCAGAAGATACCAGGTTCTATTCACACCTGGACAATGAGAGAGCATTACTTGTACATAGCAAGAGTGAAAGGAGGAAGGGAGAGGGTATCAGGGAATATTTGATTTGGAAACAATACAGAGCATGTTGTTTTTCACTCTCAAAATCAGGATTGTATTCCCATTATAGAATAAAAAAGATCCATCGTTTATGGATGCCATTGACTATCGAAAGGTCTAGGGCAAAGCCTATAACTGGAATTAATAATAACATCAATAATCCTTGCACTTGATGTAGCACCTTATCACGTTGTTGAGATATTTCAAAGCACTTTACAGGATATACCGTAAAGTGGATAGACTGCGTATTTTGTGAGTGAAACTCGGCAGCTAGTGTCCCTCAAACAGCCATGGAGTGTGTGACCAATTTTAATTGGGGGACTGTTGGCCAGGACGCCAGGAGAACCTTCTCTTTTCGAATAGTGTCATGGAATCATTAACTTCCACCTGAAAAGGCAGACTGGACCTGCTTTAAGATCTCACCTGAAGGACAGCACCTCCGTCAACGCAACACAAAACTCAGCACTGCATTGGAGTGTCACCTTAGACTATGTGACTCCAAGTCCTGATGTGGGGTTTGGGAGACAGGGAGCGGCGCCAGGACAGTGCGGGGAGGAGCTGGGCCTACCTCTCAGGTATTTAACCTCGACGCGGGAGGGAGTCCAGCCAGACAGGGAGTGGCGGCAGGGAGTGCAGCACGGGGTGTGCAGCGTGTGGGGCTGAGGAGGGAACGGGTGTGGGCGGAGCGGGGGAACCGCTGACGTCATAGTTGTAGTTTTCAGAAGTGTGCGCGCAACTAAAAAAAAATAAAAAAATCCTCCGTGCCCCCCCCCCCCCCCCCAGGGCTCAGAGCCCACCATGGTCCTGTTAGGTTGGCTGCCCCAGCCCATGGGATAATGTGTCCATCCACCTGACCGCTCACTCCCGGTCCCCGCGTGCGCAATATGGCTGCCGCTATGACCCGAGCCCCCTCCCTCCCTCCTCTCTACCCCCAAACCCTCCCCCCTCTGCATCTCTCCCGCTCTCTCCTCTCTCTCCGTCCCTCTCGCCTTCTATCCCCACTTGACCCTCCCACAACCTCCCTCTGTTCCAGCCTGGGAATCCTCCGCCGGGCTCACCGTGGCACTCGGCGTTGGCTGTCCAGCAGCAGCCACACCGACTGCCCCATTCCTCACCACTCTCGCTACCCAACCCGGACACAGACCCGGGAAGCCAACCTCTCCTCCCTCATCCCCATTTCCCCCACCCCTGCCTCACAACCTGGACCCCCCTCCCTCCCCACACACCCTTCTGTCAACCGCTCCATCCACATCGGACTACAAAATGTCCGCTCCCTCTGTAACAAGGCCCTGGTCATCAACGATCTCATCCTTGATGAGAGCGTTGACATCATGGCCTTAACGGAAACCTGGCTCACCCCAGGCGACACCTTCCCCCTCACGGAGGCCACACCACCCGGCTACACCTCCCACCACATCCCTCGCCCCAACCGCCGTGGCGGTGGTGTTGCCCTTATCTCAAGGACACCACTTGCCCTATCCCCCTACTCCTCTGGCTCTTTCCCCTCTTTTGAGCACCTCACCCTCTCCCACCCCTCCTTCCTCTCACTTAAAATCCTCCTCCTCTACCGGCCCCTAAAACCTCTCCCACCTTCATCTCCAATATTTCAACACTTCTTACATCTCTCTGCCTCTGCTCTGATCGCCTCATCATCCTGGGCGACTTTAACCTGCACTTCACCCCCTCCTGCTCCATCTCCTCAGATTTCTCTTCCCTGCTCTCCTCGCTCAACCTCTCCCTCCACATCAACTCCCCCACTCACAGTCACGGCCACCCACTCGACTTGGTGATCACCCGGGGCCTCAGTGTCTCGGATGTCACTATTACCGACAAGGCCATCTCCGACCACCACTTCATCTCCTTCACCACCTCCACCCCCCTCCCCACCTCCACCAGACCCACCACCATCTTCTACCCCCCTGGAAGAAGTTACCCCCACAATCCCTAACCGCTGCCTTGGAGTCCTCTGAACTCCTCTCCCTCTGGCCTTCAACCCTCACTGACCCCTCTTCTGCTCTCACCCTCCTCCACAACACCCTCTCCTCCACACTCGATACTCTTGCCCCATCACCTCCCGTACTGTCTCCTACTCTCGCTCCTCCCCCTGGTTCACCACCCACCTCCGCTCACTGAAGAGCCAGGTGCGGGCCGCTGAACGCACCTGTGTCAAATCTGGCCTAACGGTCCACCGACAAATCTGGCTGAACCTCCTCAAAATCTACCGCTCCACTCCAGGATAATCCTGGAGGCGAAGAACAACCCCAGGCTACTGTTCTCTACCACATCCCAACTCCTCCGTCCCCCCCGCCACCCCGCGCAGGTCATCTCCTCCAACCTTCACTGCGAGGAGATGCTGGATTTCCTTGAATCCAAGATCAAGGGAATCCGCTCCGCGGTCACTTCCCCTCCAACATCCCCCCACCCCCTCCCTCCCACACTCCGACTCCTACCCATCCTCCCCTACACACCTTCGTACCCGTTTCCCCACCCTCTGTCACCAAACTCATCCTATCCCTGAAACCCACCACCTGCTCCCTTGACCCCATCCCCACTCCACTCCTTATCTCCCAGCTCCACCTCCTTGCCCCACATATCACAGACATCGTCAACCTGTCCCTCTCCTCTGGCTCTGTTCCCATTCCCTTAAAAACTGCCACCATCACTCCCACCTTGAAAAAACCCTCCCTTGATGCGTCGCAGCTATCAAGCTACCGGCCCATCTCCAACCTCCCCTTCCTGTCCAAGGTCCTGGAACGAGTTGTCGCCTCCCAACTGCGCTCTTTCCTCTCCAACCATTCACTATTCGAACCCCTTCAATCGGGTTTCCGTGCTGCCCATAGCACAGAAACTGCCCTGGTCAACCAATGACATCCTGATCATCTGTGACCAGGGCTCCCTCTGCCTCCTCGTCCTCCTCGACCTATTGGCAGCATTCGATATGGTCGACCACGCTATCCTCCTCCACCGCTTGTCCTCCCACCTAAACCTTCAAGGCCCTGTCCTTGAGTGGTTTAGGTCGTACCTCTCCCACCGTCTTCACTTTGTCTCCACAAATGGTTTATACTGTCTCGTGTGGTGTCCCTCAGGGCTCTGTCCTCGGTCCCCTCCTCTTCACCCTCTATATGCTCCCCCTTGGTGACATCATCCGCAGACATGGGGTTAACTTCCACATGTATGCGGATGACACCCAACTCTACCTTTCCTCCTCTACCCTCAACTCCACGACCCCCGATGTCCTGACAGCTGCCTGTCCGACATCGAGTCCTGGACGAGAGACAACTTTCTTCAGCTCAACGTGCGCAAAACTGAGGCCCTCCTGATTGGCTCACGTCAGCGCCTCCGCACCTCAGGCGCTGACAGCATCAGCATCCAAGGCTGCACTCTCCACCTCTCAAAGCCATCAGGAACCTCGGGGTTCTGTTCGACCCTGAGCTGTCCTTTCTCCCTCATATCCGCGCCACAACTGGCACCGCCTTCCATCACCTCCGGAATGTCGCCAGACTACGGCACTACCTCACCCCTCACGCTGCTGAAACTCTGGTCCACGTCTTTATCACCTCAAGGCTGGACTATGGGAACTCTCTCCTCGCCGGCCTTCCCGCACCTCCCTCCACACTGCAGGTCATTCAGAACTCTGCAGCTCGTGTACTGTCCCGCACCAGGCTTTGCGACCACATCACACCCACCCTCGCTCGCCTCCACTGGCTCCCCATCCCCCAGAGGATCGAATTCAAGATCCTCACCCTCACCTACAAGGCCATTCACGGCCTCGCTCCCTCCTACCTCTCC